TTTGAAAGAAAATTTCAATCTCAAGCTATATACAAAATTTTCATGGTTTCATACCTGATGATGATCCAACTCCTGCTTGATCTGCTAACCTTCCAGTCAACATTGGCGAATTTTCTTCAACGTTCTTAGAAATTCCATGCTTGAATTACCCTTTGAGGAAAGATTCTTTCTAATATGGTTCCAGTTAAGTAACAACATCATGTTGTGAGAAGGAACGTGCAGAGACCCTTCAATACAGTCACTAGTATGTGCACAACCCCACGACCTTAATGGCCCATCTTCACAGAAAGGTCAAAGTTTTGGGAAACCATTCCTCAACTTGGAACAAACACGCTCCTCTATAGAGGTTTCCTCTTATGATCTAGCACAGAGAGGGCATAGAGGGTCATTTTTGCTTGTCTTGGTATTGTTTGCTCCAAGCATTCCACATGGAAATCATGACGACATGAAATGACTCCAACAACAAGCATGTCTCCACATTTCACAATTCATCAAGAACTCCAAGGCGATCTTTGCGAAAGAAAATCATCATACGATCAACATTTGAAACCCTCAGATGAGTTACATGATTGATTGGAAAAATCATATTCCAATGGCTCATAAACGCCTTTAAAATGAAAAATTCCACATTGCTCAAACGATGTGCCTCTCTATGTAGCGTGGGAACGTGGAACTCTAAAAGCTAGTGGTTGTGGTTTCAATGACTTCACTTGTAGGTGTTTAAGACAAAAAGGATAGGGGGGATGAATAAGTTTGGACATAAAGTAATGGCGACTTAAGAAGTTATGATGAGAGGATGGGTGTGACTTTGTTATTGGCTCATAATCACTACTATCTAATCAAGATTGTGGTGGGATATATAGTTGCCCCTTTCCTGGACGACTCCTGCTGCTACTAGGCTATCCCTGCATAAACAAATAAGCCACTAGAGCTCGACATGGTGTTTGACGGTAAGTATTGGGATGGTTAAGTTAGAGCTCAAAACAAATGCTATTTCCTTGATGATAGAAAGGAACATACCTCATATCCTGGCGATTGTCGCCTATTTATAGAGGATTCATTGCGTATTGATGTTGCTTTACTACTGAGAGTATACCTAGCATGCGTGTTTGGATGCTTTGGGAAGAATTTGCATATTGAGACTAACTATGCTCCATTACTGTCTTAACACTGTCTTTACATTGTCTTCTGCGTTGTCCTTCTGGCGTTCCATCTGCCTCTCATCCTTTCTGACCTACCCCTTTTGTTATGAACTTGAGATATCGCTATTATACCTTTTGGTAGAATAGATATGCCTTTTAGTTAATTCATGTGTCGAATATATCCTTGGTTTATCTTTAGTGGATAGATGACCGTATTGTAACTCTCCAAAATTTGTCCTCCATTTTTTTTTTATATTTATAATTAAAGCCATTTAATGTTTCACAACCATTGTAATGAATACCATAATAAACATAATCTTTTATTTAGAATAATCTCTCTCATATTGAACTATTCCATGTGAAATACATCATTGTTCCATTTACATGTACAAAAATAATAATAACAGTTCAATGAGTAAGAGAAATATCAAAGTATAATGCCCTAGTGGCATAAACATTTTCAAGGATAGTCCTTGAGTACACAAAAATGGACATACAGTCCCAAATCACAAAAAAGCTTTGAAGCATCAACAAGTAACATCCATTGAACCTTCATGCTTCTTTCAAAAACACATCCACCGCCAAGTTACTTAGGCGGAGTCACACCATCAATTCCTAAAATGTTGTTAGTTTGGAGTGAGCTATTGCCCAATAGAAATAGTATTAACATAGTATATAAACGATCTAGATGCATATGATCATGTTATGCGAGTGATAAGAAAATCCATGTCTCTTTCAAAAACAATGATGTTCAATGCATGATTTCCATACCAAGTCTTATCCATAACTATGGGATGGTAAATACGCAATGATGTCCCAGGCAAGAGCCACAAAACCATACATACATATGTAGATTTATATACATAAAATACTATCACATTTGCCGACTCTATAAATGGCGAGGTGATGGGCACAAAAATCTTTCCCTTCTACATTTGCCGACTCCTGAAACAACGGGCTTGTGAAAACCAAAAATCATGTTTTTTCACATTTGCTGACTCCTGAAACGGCGGGCTCATGGACACCAAAAAAACTTTTCCCCACATTTTTCCAGCTATAAGATCAAGACAAGGCAGTTGGGCATCTTGACTCCCCCGTATGGGTACCAATATAGCACACAACTCATTTCCCAAAACCCGATTCAACTACCAGGACTCATACGTTATTTACCCCCTTCCAACATTCCCAATATTCACAAGGCTATAAAATTACATAAGAGAATTATAATGTACATGATGCATGAGTTTTCAAGTTCAATTTTCCTAAGGTTTATTTAATTCATAAACATGATTTAGCAATATCAATAACAATGGATTTCTCCAACCTCTCAATTCCACAATCTCAACATTCATCTATCTCAATACATGAATCCAAGTAGGTTCAAAAATCTCATCTCTCAACACCTTTGCCATAATCATTCACCTAATTCTAAAATTTAAAAGTCAATTGAATCAAGCAACATTTAAATCAAGTTTTAAAAACTAGGGTTTTTTAGAAAAATTAAGGTTTTTCTCTCTTTTATACCCAGAGAGTCAATATTCATCATCACCAACAATAATCAACAAGAATATTGATAATCTTTCTCAAAAACATTAGGTATAAGCCCCTTTTGTTTATCAAACCCACTTTATATCACAAAATCATCTCATACGTCACTATAACTGAGAAAATACCACATATATATCTCAAATTATAGACATACTAAGTTAAAAGTACCTATACCTTGAAAATGAGAGCTAGGAGTTGAAGACCCAACAAGAAACTTTGAAGAAATGCGAAGCAATCGATAGAAATCTTAAACCAAGCTTGCTCTTCAATTTTCTTGAAAGATTTAAGGTGGATCTTAAGTAGAAATGAGAGAAATCAAGCGTTTTTGGGCTAGGGTTTCGGAAATGGTGTTAAAGAGACAGAGGATATGAAAAAAGTAAGAATGAATTGGGAAAAAATTGATTTTAAGTTGGTTGCTCTGAACAGATTGCTCGAGTGATCTTTCCACCGCTAGAGCGGTGAACACAAGCTTCCAACAAAATTTCAAGTTTGAAATGAAAGTATTGGCAGCTATGCATCTCCGCTTAAACGATCAATTAATTGCTCGAGCGGTCTTCTTCAATGCTCAAGCTGTATAAAGAAATAATGGGAACCTCAATTCACTGCTCGACCAGTAACTCCACTGCTCGAACAGACCTATAGAATTAAGATGTTACAGGTTCGAGGAAGGCTGCTAATGTCGGGAGAAGTTAATTTCGATCCTCGACAATTGCCCCCAACTCTTGTTCCTTGCTACTTGAGAAGAGAGGGTGAGAGTTCGGCTAAATTGAGTTTGCGCTCCACTTTAGGCGAAGGCATTACATGTAGTAATATGATCCATTTATTCCTTATTACTATAGTGATGCAACCGTGCTTCATAGTGAGCCTTTCTGTGCAACGGCACTATCATTGATGCCTCTTCAAATTTTAAAGTCCTTCATTGGGTTCCATTCAAAAACACTCCACACATATATATTGACAATTGTATTCCCTCATATTCTCACTTTGTTTCCTAGTTTTCTCTCTCCCAGGGTTATTTTTTTTTCTCCGTGTTCACTTTGTCACTCTTCGTTCCATTCACCTCTCTATTGTTGTGTTTGCCTTCGAATCAACCTTTGCCTTTGTCGTTCCTCTATAAGTCCTCAAATCTCTTTCTCTTTTGATTTTGTTGTTCTTTTGCTGTTCATTTCTGGATTTCTGTTTCTTCTTTTGATACTAACAGCCTTGAGTGAGTTGGTGTTTGAGGAGAAGTTTGAGATGTTTTGAAAGCATTTCCCAATTCTAGACAATGTCTATGAGGATGCCATAGTTTTAGCCAAAGTCGAAGGAGAAATGAGATTTCCTTTTCATCCCGTTGTGCGGAAAGAACTTCATTTTTAGGCTTCGATTCCATTTTTGGGGTTTGATTCCATCTTAGAAGATTAGGAAGTAGGAGGTGGCTGGTAGGGTTAGGGTTTTTAGAGGTTTTTAGGATATCTATATATATATAGATATATATTTCTCAACAATGATAGAGACCACTAATTTTGGAGTTCTAAAAAGATCACTAATGACATGACACTCAATAAAAAAAGAAAAAAAATACAACACCAAGGCCAAAACATCAAATCATTCATGGTGGGGTCCACTGCCACATCATTAGTGATAGCACTAATTAGTACTCTCACTCATTTTCGTATATTTCTTTTAGGATTTCTAGGTAGAAAATGATTATGGTTTTCAATAGAGAGAGGTGGTTGGTTATTAGGGTTTTGGTTAATGGGAACACTCATGCCTTTTTGCCTAACGATTTATAGAAGGAGAGTAAAAACAAAAAAATGGAGCCATCTTTGCACAATAGGCGCATGTAATACACTTTCAATCTATTTGGACAAAACAATTGCAAATTAGTCCAAACTACAAAGAATTCATAAGCCTATATGTGAAACAATGGAGTAAAGTGAATTTTGTCATTTTTATTTGTACCCAAATATGTTTCTCTCTCTCTCTCTGTGGCTAAAAAGCACATATACAAATACGTGATACAATATAGACATGGATACATAAATTTGTTTGTCTCTTTCTCTCTAAGGCTAAGAAGAATGAACATGGACACTAATACATGACATGATACAAACAAGCAGAAATACAACACGCGAGAGAGATGTGCGAAACATATAATCTTATATATTTATTATATGCTATATGTTTAATTATTATATAGTTATTCTCATAAATTCATCGATATTGAGTATGCTACTCTAGTACAAAAAAATAAATAAAAAATGACACTGCATGTTCCTAATGTGTCCCCAGCGTATTCGATTAAAAAAATGACGGAATGACACTTCCTTTAGTGCTTGTCCATTATTGACACGTGTCACACTAACCTCCGGAGAAGCTTCTATGTTTCATAGCTCTGGGGAATTGACATTCAAATGAATTATGCCAATTTGTGCAACATGCCATGGACTAATAACTTCCTGCCAACATTGACCAACAAAAAGGTGCAACTTTGTAGAGTTGGAAAGAGAGTTCATTATTACAACAAGAAGCACAAAATCTACTAATAGTTTATTCAATTAAGTACTCAAAGAGGGTCTCAGATTCATGATCAACTGCTTTACATGCTGTAAGCAGAGCAACTAGTTGTTGTAACTCTAATCCATGGAATTGGCATTGTTGTTATTGGTAGCATCTAACTTGCAACTTTGATCCTTAAAAGGAGCATCATTATTATTGTCATCAACCACTGTCAAAACACAATTTAGCTAAGTTCAATATGTAACGATGAGAAATGAAACTAAAAAAATAAAAAAAATAAAAAACTTAGGTTGTCAAGTCAAGTGCAAATACCTTCACCATCATCTGTGGAAGCATAAGTTGATTGTCTTGAACGAAGTTGTTGGTGTGGTGTCGGCTGATAAAAATTACAAAACAAAGAAATTATGAATGCTAAAACTAGGACACAACTCATAAATCAAGTCTTCTCTACATATCTAGCCTCTATGTAGTGTACCGACTGTTATTTTATCTGCATGAACCTCAACAAAAACCTTGATGCTTCATTTGTAAGAAAAATAGCAAGAAAGTGGCATGTGAGATCAGTTACTTCACCCACAACCATTTAATTCATATGAAAGTAAATATGATAGTGACAAGTACTTAACTGGTAGTCTCTTTGCAGTCATAGTAAGGACATAGGACCGCATTTTACTTTCATCTGAGGAGGGCTGCTCTTAGTTGTCTAGCTCATTATAATTAGACTTTGAAATTAGAATAAAATAATCGATTTGTAGAAAGAACATGAATCCTAACATTACTAGGATGCATAATTTTACATGAATAGAAAATTCGAGAGAAAGTAGTCACGGTGGAGCCTAAACAGCCAAATTTTGGCAAGTACTATGTCTTAGCATTAGTACATGCCAAATTCGCAACTTACTCCATGACATGATTCCATTTTGCTAATTATGATAACAATAAGCCCTAATAACTCACCTAGGTTTTCATTACCCCAGAAGTCGTTACATATAAAAAAGACATCGGTGAAAGAACTTTGCCACACAATCCTACTTAACCACAATGTTGTGGCATGAAAGAATATGAAAGAAGAAAAAAATTGGTATATTACTTTAGGTGCAAGTGCCCAATAAGAACATTTCACAAGTGTGCCACATCTACAAGTCAAACCAGCATCCTTGACACAACATTAAAGCTGGTACACATTGCTCTTGTTGACCACAAGCACCTGCATGTATACTAACACAATACCCTAGTTTTTCCCACAATCAAGGGTTAAGAAACATCAAGTACCTCCAATTTTGGACGAAGAGCCTCTAGTGGACCTTTGGCCTTCTGTGCTCCTTGCTATCCAATGGGCAAGCAAAGAGGAAAACAAAGATCTTAGAAAATTGAGATTGCCCAGTAAAAACCACATTCAGAATTGCAAATACTATGATTAACAAGTGGTTAAAAAGTCTCATAAGAAAGTCAATTAGGTATACCTTGCCTAATGCCCAATCAGCAGAATCAAAATATGCTCGTTCGTGGTCCTGATATTAAATAAAGTAGTTTGTGGAGGATTACACTTGTTAAATGAAACCAAAAATAGCATAAATGACTAAACTAAAAGGTAAAAAGAGAATTGTTACCTTGGATATTAATGGAGGTTTCTTTGGCAACATTCCTCCATACTTTTTCTTGATCATTTCCTCCTACGAAAGACAGAAGAAAATGTAACTTTTGGAAATCTATGTACTAGCGAATTATGCCCCGGATACAAAAATATTTGGGCAAACTCATTAGACCTGACACTTCTGTCCTTTGGAGAAATTCTTAGCGGATTGTTTCAAAAATGTTGTCAGGAACATATTATTTAACCCTGTTTCAAGGCTTGCTCCACATTTGCTTTTTGAATAATTTAATAAAACAAACTAATCAAAATTTAAAACCATAAAACACGGAAGCTACAGAGTATGTACCTCCTCCTGGAGTGTAGGTAAGGGATTTTCCTCATGTAAATCTGAATGCTTTGGGTCATGCACCAAAGGATCATCATCCACTTTATCATTGGGAGTGTTGTCAGTGAAATCTAACTCCTTAGCATCGTCAATGTTGATGTCTGACATATTTGTGCTTCTTATATAGAGCTGCAACAGAAAATTAATGCTTTCATATTGTACAAATTTACATTACCATTGCAATATGAGAAGTAACAGTTCTTGCATTGACCGTGCGCTATCTGAGTAGGAAATACGGAATTATATATCGATTATGGTCAATTATAATATCGAAGCAGGGGGAACATTAGTGAGTTACTGGTAGGCACATACTACCAACTCTATGTCAAATACCAATGGAACAAATGATAATGGAAAACTTTCTTCCTAACACTATACATTGTAAACTTCACAAAAAGAAAAATTAAAATTAAAAAAAAAAAAAAATTTGGTATGAAATAGTCCGATCATATTCCTGGTGCACATCTCTTTGGTGCTACCAGGTCTAATATGAATTGGCAAGCACTTTCTCTAATTCCATCTACTTCTTTCTTTGCTACTACTAGTTAAGAATTCAAATCTCTATGGTAATCTTTTGTAAGCAGAAGGGCTGGTTTGATTAGATTTTAGAATTATTTTTCAATTCTTTAAATAAAAAAGAAAAGAAAAAAAAAATTCCTTCAACTTTTCCTCGCATAAAACAATACAAACTCGTTGTTAAAAATTCCTTTACAAATTTATAGAATGACTAGATCAATTATTCAATTATTTTCATGAATGGGGTATTGGAAATATTACCAAGGCAGAAACCATACCATTCATAATGGATACATTATAGTCCAAACAAAAACATATAATTAAGAGTGAAATATTCACTTTTATTTTAGTCTGATGCATTATGCTTTCATATTAGATAGATGAAATACATATTAAAAGTCATGCTAAAATTTGAAGTACAATACCCCTCTAAATGAATAATGTTCTCTTTTAATGATAATTTATACTATACCCGTCTAAATGAAATATGTTCTCTTTTAATGATTATTTATACAAACAACAACTATTTATTTTCTTTTCTCACATCGTGATTCAAACAGAGGCTAAGAGTGTTTTTAAGTGAAAATAAGGCCCCGTTTGGGGACTTACCTTTTTAGTCAAAAAGTCAAAAAGTTACATTTTTAGCCAAAAAGGCAACAACTCATACAAAAAATTCAAAGATTCTCTTTTCTCTCTACTTTTTGCACATCTTTTCGTAATTAGCCAAAAAGTCATCCCAAAAATATAAGTTTTTTTTACCTACTTTTTTAGCCAAATAGCAAAAAAGTTACTAAATTAGCCTGTTCCCAAACGAGGCCTAAATAAAGGAATAAGAAATTGGAATACACCCTCTAATTAGAGTATATGTCAAACTGAAAAACCCAGAAAACAAAGACACCTAATGAATTTGCTAGTGTGTTAAAATAGAGATATACAGGAATATTTTGCATTTGTAAAACAGTAAATTTCAACATATGTATGTATGTGCCCCAACTGGATTGATTATAAGAAACTACAAAGAAAAAGAGGGTACTATATCATTTCTGTGAATATTTTGTTAGTTTCAACTGTAAAGCTTCAATCAAGTATGTATGCCACCTTGCACAGAACAGAACACCATATTCAAAACCCACGTAGAGATATACATACAAATAGGGACGGAACCACGATTTTATCACTAGAAGGGCCAAAGACACCAGCAAAAATACTATAGAAGTAATCTCTATTGGAATTAAAAAAAAAAAAATTGTACAAAATAAAAAAATAAGGTAAGATGGTAGAACAATGAAATATATATATCTTTTATACTGATTGATTATTTTATTTATAAAATAAAATATATATTTTAAAAATACTATGATAAACAGAATTCTACACAAAAACAAGAGAGCTATTGCCCGTAGTTTTCTTCTAATTCCATCATGCATATGAAGATATACATACTAGAAGAAGAAAAAAAGTGGAGGGAGTGATATTCACCAGAGCCGATAAATAACCGACCGGAGAGTCGATGGAGTAGTGTATAATCTGAAAATGTAGAGCCAAATGAAACGGCAGAGTATACTACTCACTTTGGCAGCAGCCTCTACCAACCAAAGGTTGCGTTGCTTTGCGTCCCAACGCTTCAACTTTTTTAAAACAGAATATAGTTTATGTCTCTCAACTAAAAATTATAACACCTAACCCCCTCGTCAACTAATTTTTTTCAATTTAGACTTTTATGACAAAATTACCCTTTTATTGATAGGATAAATTACAATTTACCCTCTTAACTATTACCTAATATCATTTTACCTCCTTAATTAAAAAGAAATGATAGTACATTTGTCACTTTGAATTATAAAGTTATATCGATGTAAATATTTTGTTAAGGATATGTCTCTTAAATAGATAAAAAAATTGATATGTAATTTATATATGACTCGAATGGAATGGTTAAAATTAGGGGTGCTTGCAGATCAGGTTGGGTCGGATGACCTTCTATTTGTCATCCGTTCGAATTTAGGTAGATTGAAAAAAATCAATTTGTATCTATCCACTTAGTTAGTGGATGCGGATTGAGTGGGCTATGCGGGTTAGCGGGTAGATGTAGATCGATTTGGCGGTTTGTGTTTTACTATTTTATGCTTTTATATAGTAATTTTTTTATTAATTTGAGCCTTATTTGAGTTCAAAATTTTTTATTCTTCATTTTCTATAATTAAAATGAAAGTTAAAACTTTTATATTTCATAAGTAACTAATATTATTATTAAATAAATTGTCTTTTTCTTTAACAAACATAAAAATATAACATTATTTTCTTAAGGTAGATTGGCTGATTGAGTTGTGTTGTGTTGAGTGACTTCTTATTCGTCATCCGTCTGAATATAGGTGGATATGAAAATTCTCGATCCGCATATGTCGGCCCATACTATCGAAACCACTTAAAAGTGGATGGATTAGGCCAGGTTGGTCGATTTTTGTGGATCGGTCAATTTCGTGACACTCCTACTTAAAATGACATCATTTTTTTTTTTTAGTTAATTTTTTTAAAATTGTTTACTAACATATGGGGGAAAAAAATACTAAAAACAATAAATATGGAAAAAAAATCAAAACTATATTTTAGCTTAAAATTCAATTTTTTTTTAGTTTAGGAGTAAAGTGATATTGAGAGATAGTTTAAGAGGTTGAACTATAATTTACCCCTATAGTTAAAAGGGTATTTTCGTTATTAAGGTTCAAATTGAAAAAAAAAAAATAGATAAAGGGGATTAAGTGTTATTGCTTTTAGTTTAAGAAGATAAAAGGGTAAAATGTAATTTGCCGTATATATAACGTACTACTTGGGATGGGCTGGCTTGGGACAGCCCGTAGGATTTGGAACTGGGTCACCTTTTTACATGGGTTTAGAACTGGATCATGCATTGTATTTGCATGAATGGATTTAGGCCTACCTGCCTGCCTACAAATCCGATGCTTCTCAATCAGAATAATCCGAATCTGTTAATGAAAATCCCACTCAACCCAAATCCCATAAAGTCCAATTATTAATGGGTTTCCATAAATCCAATCTATTTAGATTAGATATCTGATTCTTATTTTTGTTTATTTATTTATTTATTATTATTATTTTGCTTTTAGAAATACTGAAGACTCACAATATAGATTCTTAATTCACCTATAATTAGAGTTATAAATGAATTGAGCTATTTACGAATAGGCTTAGTTTGGCTCGTTAAGGGTGTGACTCGGTTTGACTCGTTTAAATGAGCTGAGCTTGAGCTCGAATAAGCTCGGCTCATTTATCTTTATTTAAATTATAAAATAAATATATTATTTATATATTAAATTATATATATATAATAGTATAAATACATTATTTTTACCTCTCTCTCTCAAAATATTAGTGATACATTATATATACCCCTCTCTCTCAAAATATTAGTCCCTTATTCTATTTTCCATTGTTCCAAAATATTAGCTTCTTTTCAAAAATTAAAGAACAAAATAATATGGATTTCATTATTCCACTTTGGTGGTGTTTGATAAAGTTAAAAACCGGAAATTGAAAACTGAATGTGAAATTTTTTAAGTTGAAAAATTATTTGATTAAATTGAAGTACTAAACTAAAACATGTTGTTTGATATGTACAAGATTACATTTGAAATTTATTATTTTTAATTTATATATTTTAATTTTTATATTATGATGGTGAGTTGGTGGGTGGGGGGTGAAGGAGGTGGTGGCATTAGTTATAACACCAATGACAATGGTGGTGGAGATAGAAAGATAGCGGTTGTGGTGATTATAATGTTATGGAGACAAAATGGAGGTGGTGTTAGAGCAATTCTATGGTACACACCCCTCTAGGGGTGTACTATATGCAATTTATTATGTGTTTTTATGGTGTGCATTACGTATTTTTGTAGTAAATATTACATATTAGTAAATATTACATATTTTTTGATAGGAGTAACAATAGTTTGTGACTGATGAATGAAATTATGCATTTTTGTGGTAATATTATGTATTTTGTGGTATTGTTAATCATATGTAGCTAAAAAATGTAGGGATAAATAAATGTGTAATATTACCACAAAAATGTCAAATAGTATCACAAAATGCGTAATTTCAATTTTGAACCATAAATTGTCGTAACTCTTACTAGAAAAATACGTAACATTTACAATAAAAATACATAATATTTGCCATAAAATTATTTTGATGTTATAGGAACATTGACAATGGTTATGAAAGTGAAGGGTTATAGTAGTTGTTGTAAAACATATTCATTTATGTAATAGTTTGACACTACGATTTCCATGTCACTAATCTAAATAAATTTAGAGCTTTTATATTGTTTCATTTTCTTTGATACAAAATATTATCGGTTAAAATATATGAATTTTTTTTAAGGTACATGGTATTAAGATTTTATAACATAAAGGGTATCTAATATTTTCATAATGTTTAAGGTCCCTCAACATCGATTCAGAGAAAATCCGATCCAGGAATTTTCTGGACTTCCCAAAGAAATTCCTAACTCAAGCCGTTATCATCTTCTTTCTTCAGAGAAACTCTGGGAAGTTCAGAGAAATTTCTCTTTAGAGAAATTCTGGACTTCCTAGAGAAATTCCTAATTCAAGCCTTCGTCATTTTCTTTCTCTAGAGAAATTTTGGACTTCCCCAAGAAATTCCTAACCCAAGCCCTCATCATCTTCTTCTTCCAGAGAAATTTTGATATCTACCATACCACAAAACCTAGAAGAGTGAGAGTTGCAGTCAGACTTAGACCAAGAAATGCAGAGGATCTTCTTTTAGATGCTTATTTTGCTGATTGTGTTGAAATACAACCAGATGTGACTGATTTACGTTGCTAATTTGTCATCAATCCTGTACGGGGAGCAAATATTCGTCGCTGCCCGTACTCCTTTCGTCCAAGCTCTGTATCTATCCGATCAACTTAAAAGCACAACGGCGGTGAGCTACCTGTCGGTGTGTTGCCGGAAACCCCTCCGACGGTCAAGTTAGCACACACTCAGAGAGAGAGAGAGAGAAAGAGAGAGAGAGAAACTCAATGAATGTAAGTCTTATCTCACCAAATGATGTTCCATCCATAGCATGGGGGGCGCAGTCATGCTTGTATACTTTCTGCGTTCACCTCTACACCCATTCGTCTATTGACACGTGGAGCTGCTCTCCCATTTGTCAGCGCAAATCTAGCTAAACACCACCTAATCAAACTGCCAGACAACATTAGCGGGAACGAACATCTCGACAGCACCATCGTGGCCTCCTTCGACCGTGCCGCTTAACGAGCCCAACAATGCTCCTCGCCGAGAACCATCACTACCGAGCTCAGCAGCACTCTAGTGCGACTGTGCTTCAGCCAAGTTAGGCCGGTCTGCAGTAGATCACGATCACCAAGCTAAAACGAGCGAACAAGAGAAGCCAAGCTAGCAAAGGATCATCTCGGCCAACTCTGGTCTGGACTTCAGTCGAACAAGCTTCCTCTTGGCACGGCTTAGCCCAGCTCGGCCCAAATACGCTTGGACCACTTTCAGCCCGGCCAGAACCGCGACCCAAGCCGAGATTATGAAAATCTCCCTCTCAATTGCTCCTTAATTTCGTCTGCATTTGTGTGACCGGAATTACATTACAAGGCCGGGCTCGACTTTTTGCTCGGTGGTTCACTTTGCTTGGTTTAGAAACTTCAAAGTTGGCAAACAAACTCAGCTCGGCAACTTGCTTCTTGGTGAATAAAATCAGCTTAGCAACTTGTTTCTTGGCGAGCAAGATCAGCTCGGCAAAGAACTCCAAGGTCGGCGAGCAAGGTCAGCTCGGTGACTTTCTTCTTAGCGAGCAAGATTAGCTCGGCAAGGAACTCCATGGTCGGCGAGCAAGGTCTGCTCCGCGACTTGCTTCTTGGCGAGCAAGATCAGCTCGGCAAGGAACTCCAAGGTCGGCGAGCAAGGTTAGCTCGGCGACTTTCTTCTTGGTGAGCAAGATCAGCTTGGCAAGGAACTCTTAAAGTGGGAGCAAGGTCTGCTTCGCGACTTTCTTCTTGGTGAACAAGATCAGCTCGGTAAGGAACTCCAAGGTCAGTGAGCAAGGTCCGCTCCGCGACTTTTTTCTTGGCGAGCAAGATCAGCTCGGTAAGGAACTTCAAGAGCGGAAGCAAGGTCAGCTCGGCGACTTTCTTCTTAGCGAGCAAGATCAGCTCGGCAAGGAACTCCAAGAGCGGGAGCAAGGTCCGCTCCGCGACTTGCTTCTTGGCCAGCAAGATCAGCTCGGCAAGGAACTCCAAGGTTGGCGAGCAAGGTCAGCTCCGCGATTTCCTTCTTGGCGAGCAAGATCAGCTCGGCAAGGAACTCTAAGGTCAGCGAGCAAGGTCAGCTCGGCGACTTTCTTCTTGGCGAGCCAGATCAGCTCGGCAAGAAACTCCAAGGTCGACGAGCAAGGTCCGCTCCACGATTTCCTTCATAGCGAGCAAGATTAGCTCGGCAAGGAACTTCAAGGTCGGCGAGCAAGGTCAGCTCGGCGATGTTCTTCTTGACGAGCAAGATCATCTCGGCAAGGAACTCTAAGAGCGGGAGCAAGGTCCGCTCTGCGACCTTCTTCTTGGCGAGAAAGATCAGCTCGGCAAGGAACTCCAAGGTCGGCG